TGATTAAATCAACTCCACTTCCCCCTGCATGAGCAAAGAAAGAGGCGCGGATTGAGATTTCACGGATTTCAAAGTCAGCAGACCTATGCACCAGGCTAAGAGTATGACCCACACACCTGGCTATTTTCCTACAGCTGTACGTTGTCTAGTCAAAGATAACTGTAATAATATTTACACTCCATGTAAATGCTTAAACACCTGAGCTCGTGTGTGTTCAAGCCTGGTTTTAATTATTGGTATCTCAACTAAATGTATTACATTTTAAGTAATGGAGAGGAGGCAGGAGGAAAGAAGAGTTGTTTACAAAACCCAAGCACTACCAGCAGTTTTAACACAAGAAATGGACTAGTGTTCATTAGTTCAGGGCCTTACTAGAGTGTTTTGCTTTGATCTTCCTTACAAAAGGGACTGTATTGGAGTATTTCAATTAGTACTGCATATTAAAGATTTAAACCCACTTTAAGTATTCCTGATGGACAAGTAAATGCTGAATGTGCTGATTCTCTGTATTCAATGTGCAGATCTGAACACACAGTAAGAAAAAGTGGGGGTAAGAGGAAAAGGTTTTGCCCCCCTTTTGGGGAACTCGATCAAAGATGATTAATCCGGGAAGAAAGGATTACTAGAGGGGCTTATATTGTTAGAGAATGATTAATCATTTCACAAGACTCTTGGCCCCTTGCATAATGGTGATCGGGATAGATTAATCATGTTAATGCAGATAAAGGATTGTGTCATTTTAAGCTGTATTCATACACAAATTATTTGCATAGTAGGCAGCTTTATACTTGCAAAAAGAACTTTATTTTGAATAAGTAACACAATAAGGAAGCCTGTAAAATTAGGACAGTGCTGTTTTTTCCCTACCAGTTTAAATATTAAAGGTGTGTTAACCCAAGGATGCCCGATGTAGCTTTCCTAAATGTAGCAAATACAAAAGAGTCACAGGTGTTGACTTGCAGCCAATTTCCAAAGAGATTTACTCACCTGTCACAGAAATGTCTCCATCCACTCTAAAGGCATTTACTCTTATACCCCTTGCTCAGGCACAGCCTTCAAAAGCTTCCATGGCACTTTTGCCTAAGTGAGAATTACACCCTTTTTGATTGCAGTGCCAAACTTTCTAGTCGGCTACAAAAATACATAATTAGCAACACTGGGAAGTTGGCTCTTGCAAGTGGCTGAGCACTGTCAACTCTTACTTGAAGGCTGAGCTCAGAAAAGCAGAAGATAAAGAAAGAAGGGATCTTTGAGTGGTCAGCTCCAACACGGTTTGCTAGCGTAAGACTGTTGACTCTGGCTTGCTTTGTTCAGAAGAGTTAATTATCACAAGCAACACGGGTTCCATTTCCTGCATGCTATTTCATTGTTGATACATTCTCCTTGTTAGAAGAAAGAGCTATACTCTTACTCTTTGACATATTCCTTGTGCCCCCATAAATAGTTCCTTGTGCTCCTTGGCATTCCTTATTTTTCCCCAATACTTGTAAACAAGTTGTCATTTAGACAAGCTATGAAAGACCAGTCAGCTTTAGCTCATGGGTAAGCATAAGCATCTTCCACTGAACACAACCGAGCTATGCAGAGTACTGAGGACATAACTTGGCCTCATGTCACTCCTTCCAGGTGTAACCCATATTCCACCTGGAGGCTTTGAAATCTTGACAGTATACCCCTTGACAGCTGCCAAAGCCAATATACCTTTGTCTCTCCAGTTATACCAGATAAATGTTTTGTTAATCTTGGAAGACAAGTGGGATTTGGGCTACTGTTAGGGACAGCACAGGTGGGCTGCTATTCCTCACTGCACTTGATCCTGAATTTTTGGTTTTAGTTATTGGACTTTTATAAGTGAATTGTTGGTGGGAATGTGTGTGGAAGGGGCGATCCTGCAGGTAAGTTCCTATTTGCCAGTGCAGTATTCAATCCGAGCTTCTGACTAGCTAAAACATGCTACTGTTTCCCCCCAGAATTTCCAATATACAGGCAGTCCCCGGGTTACGTACAAGATAGGGACTGTAGGTTTGTTCTTAAGTTGAATTTGTATGCAAGTCGGAACTGGTACATATTGTAGGGGAAACTCTAGCCAAACATTTCTCCAGAGCTCAGTTTTATTCTCCCACACCTCACTTCCCTCAGTCCTTTATTCTCAAGCTGAGGTGTCTGCTGAGAAAAGCCGCTCCGCGTCTCCCTGGTCTGCTGCGGGGGAGGGCGCTAGCTTCATGTCTCCCTGGTCTGCTGGGGGGAAGCAGCTAGAGCGGAGTTGCCTCACCCCATCTGTAAGTAGGGATCCGATGTAAGTCGGATCCATGTAACCTGGGGACTGCCTGTACTGAAAATGCCTTTGCATCCCTATGGGCATTCACAAGCCTCTCAATGCAGGTGCGCTCATATTCCAGATTAATGAAGTTGCTAGGATACTCCAGTTCCAGAAAATTCCTGTAGCATGGCTGAACATGGATATGTTGTTGTCTGTCATCACCCTGTATTTAGGGTCCTTTAGTCACTTTTCAGTCTGACTGTGCTTACAGTCAAGCGATACACATTGCTTGACAGACAGACCATCAAATACTTCTAAATGCTACTGTTCCACCATGCAATTATTTCACATAGAGCTTGCGTATCTGAAAAAAGTTTCTGAACTTTTGCCTGGAAAGTATTAGGAGAAAGACTGCCTTTTCTTAGAGGAAAAAAGTTTCTCAGATGATCTTACATAATCATTAGAACATATTAGAATATGAATAGCAATTAGGTATATCCGTTAGCAATAAGTTACATCGTAACAGCCAAGGAAGCATGAAGAGTTCTCCAGTGATTTTAGAAACAAATACCGTCAATGGGAACATTCATCAGATCATTAAGGCTCCTATTAAACAAGCTTCTCTCCATTTCCAAATATTATAAAAGCCAAAGAAGTTTTTGCTGCAGTTTGATACATGTTTTCCACCTGGCACACTAAGCCACAAAACTTGGAAGTGTTGAATACCTTGAGCAAGATTTATTATCTTGATTTTCAACCCTGAAAGCCACCTCCAATTTTGTTATGGTTCAAGCAATACCATAATTCCAAGAGTCAACCTGTATGGAATTCTACTTTCACTAACACAAAGCTAGGCCTGAAGCTCCCACTGGACCAATGTTTTATGAAGTAAGGCCCTCACAAGTACCAGACTTGATGATATCTGCTATTGCCAAGAAGTTTGGGATTCTCCTTTCCTGCCTGCAACATACCACAGTTGTGTTTCCATGACCATTTAGATACTTATGCCAATATAAAGCTGAAATCTATAAAAATACTGATTTGTGATATCCAAGAACTCTCCTGGAAGCCACCTGAAATCCAGGACTGGCAATATTAAAATCAGCTGGGAATCTGAACAACTCTGAAATGGAGAGATGGGAGAGAGAGCGAGAGAGGACTCATCCATAAGAACAGCCAGAATGGGTCAGATCAACAGTCTATTTAGCCCAGTGTCCTGTCTGCTGATACCAGGTGCCCCAGAAGGAGGGAACACAACAGGTAATCCTCCTGTGATCCCTCTTCTGTCACCCATTTTCAGACAGAGGCTAGGGACACCATTCTGACCCATCCTGGTGATCCCAAGTTTTCTATTGTGGGAACAAGTACATAACTTTTCCTTATTCACTTTTCCCACACCAGTCATTTTATAGACCTCTATCCTACCCCCCTTAGTCTCCTCTTTTCTAAGCTGAAAAGTCTCAGTCTTTTTAATGTCCCTTCATACAGCACCTGTTCCAAACCCCTCATCATTTCCATTCCCTTTTCTGAACCATTTGCCACTACCAACAATCATTTTTCTGACTACTTATGAACTATTTCCCCTCACTCCCCATATCCGTTTGATGAATGTGACTATTAAGTCTGCAAATGTTTTCTAAGGTATCTTTGAGTTTAGAGCAACGTTGCCAAGGGATGCATCTCAGCAATGCAGGGTGCATCGAATGCAGCAAAGTAGGGTTCTGACCCAATACCTTTACAGGAGTCCTTTATTTATCCTCTACCACGTGAAAATATCAGGAGACCCAAAAACATCAAGCACTGAGGTGACCATGTGGCTTTCTTGGTCAAGTTACAGAACACAAACCAGCCCCAGGAAAATGCTGTCAATACCACAACAAGAAAAGTAGCTTAATTCTCCTCTCCTCATCCCTAACGAGAGCTTTTCTGTCAGTAAATTATCCTACCTTGTGGTGAAGGGAAACTTGCTGAGGCAGCAGGAGAGCCAAAGTCAGCGAATCCTCCAAACGGGTCAGCTGTTCCACCTAGAAACGAGAGGAATCACAGTGTTCTTACAGGGTTGTGGAGCGATGCCCTGTTCGGCGAACTCCACAATGGCTTTCTGTAAGCTGCTTTGGGACATTTCACCTTGTTTTTAAATCTCTTGCATTTGGCAGTCAAGGTTTGTTGTTTCGCCTGTCATATGTGCTTGTACCATATTTGGGGATTCATTACCACTACCATTCTGTATTTCTATGAACCCAGACAAATTGGATTCTTCTTGCCTATGCTGCAGATCTAGCTGATTGTGCTTCGCCATATAGATGCAAAGATGCAAGTTCTGTTTCACAGTTCATTCTAAAATAATTTATACAGCTTCAATGAAGCTTGAGAGATCAAACTGGCAAGAGATGGTGCTGGTAAGACATACACAACTAATTAATGGGAGGATTACAAAATTAAAACTTGGGAAGCAAAAAATATCAAAATAATATTTTTTGTTACTGGAGGAATCCTTAATTTATTATGCTGCTTACCATGAAAAATTTAAAGTCTTCTATTTGGTTTTTATGTTGCTTAAAGCTTGAATGATTCTGCAATGATCTTGGTTTCAAGGACAAAGCTTACATTGGTGTTCATTTTTTATAAGTTTACTCCCTCTCTAGAGCAACAACATTAAAGTCCCAACCATGCATTTGTAAGCTACCAGATAAATTATTAACTTTCGAATACAATACTGTAACTATTTTTCATTAAAACACATGCAGCCTGAGCTAGAAATAAAAGAAAAAAGCATTACAATTATATTTGGGACAACAGAATAGGCAGAAGGCTCTGAGACTTTTTACTTAACCTAAAACACACTTTGTTGTAGGGTATAGTTTTGGTCACTTCTTCCGCTACAGCTTTTAAGTGGCCATTCTAATGGCCTAAAAGTACCGAAAAGCTGACCTTATTTTTGTTTGTCCTTAAAGATTTCACCTCTGAACAGTCACACCGTGAGAAGTAGCAGCAGCAGTTCAATTATTGTGCTTTTAGTGTTATGCGTACATTATATAGGTTACATCACAGCTGCTTAGCCTGCAGTGCTTAGAAACTAGCCAGGTGGGACTGGAACATCTGTGCTGCACTCAAACACCACCAGGGACAGCCTCCAACATCTGGTGCCATTTCTGAATTGTCTTATCGCTGCAAGACATTCTGCCCCATCTGCTACTCTCAACTGGGTTAATTAAGCTAGAACCATCTCCTTCATAATAAACGGCTAGCAGTAATAAAAGGAACAATTCACTTTCTAATACATGTGCACTTGTATTTCTTTTTAAAGTTATTTTATTGTAGTCAATATCAGGAAGGCATGACTGTTTTTCAAAGGGGGAATGTTCTCTAACTGAAGAATGTGTATGATTTGACAAAAGCAGCAAATAAAAAGAAAGAGGACCATGCATCTCAACCTCACAGAAGGTTAATTCCATTGTAATCCCTGTGCTATTCTTTTTAGAAAAGTCACAGGACATTTCAATCAGATGACGATGCAGTCTGAGCAAATGCAGTAGGCACTGTACTGAAGGAATTCATATAAAAATATTAGTTTAATCTGTTGTATTTTGATAAAAGAAATCTTGCTATGGATATAATGCAAGCATGGGAGGGAGGTGGCATGAGCAAGCCAAATATCAAATTTGGAAACTAAGTGAGAAGATCAAACTTACTGGGTCTACTGAAAAGGAAACATTTTCATAGTAGTGCTTCATTTACTTTCTATTCAAGGCAGCGAAGATTTGATTGTTTGTACACAGAACATACAATATAGTTTTCGTGTCAAACCAGAGCCTCGAGATCTGTTGCTTTCCTGACAAGCCTGGGAGAATGCACAGCCACAGCACTGACTAATCCTACCACTTTGAACCCAAAAGGTGGAAGGGAATTCTGAATACAGGGCATCCCCACTATAAGTCGCCTGGTATATACCTGTTCCACACTGAAGCCATTGACGCTTGTCAGAACTGATGCGTTATAAGTCCTCCCGTTCCCTGCTCTTAAGTCTCGCACACACACATATCCATTTGTGCAAATGGAAATCAGTTGTGGGAAAAAAATTCTCCACTTTAAGTTGCTTCATTATAAGTCCATGTTTTTTGCAATGTATCTTGGACTTACAGCGAGCACGGCCTGGACTCAAGCCTTTGCCTCTGGTCAGTCTTGCCAAGTTTCTCATGTGGCAGTTTCATTTTCAGATTGAACACTAAGATCGAGAGGAAAGAAGCAGAACCTAGGCAGACAGCAACAAAAGTAGCTCTCAAAGGAAGAGGTCACTGGCCTAGAGTTAAACCTAGTCTCCAGTAAGTCTAAACAATAGCTATGACTACCTACATGTACTGTGGGCATAGTACTCTTGTTGGTGCAGGTTCTCTGTGCAAGTCCTTCTTTCCACCTTCCGTAAACAGGATATAACTTGGATAGCTTTAGTAATCTGTACATCTCAAACCTCAGCATCCCTTTCTGTACTGTGAAGCTCGCATGGTATTCCCACGTCTCAGAAGAAACAATTACATCACCCACTATACTGCAAAATGCATGTAGATGAAGAGTTAACAAACGCCTCCACATATCACTGAACTCGCAGTAGGTCTCTGCCAATTTCTTTACAGGGGAGATGAAAGGCTGCTTTTGACCCCTCCACTGTATCTTGAGTGACCCTGGGAATGTTCCCACACCCTGTGCTGCAAGGAAAATATTGGTCATCATAAGCAACCTGCAGGCGGACAGCACTACTCTTCACAAAATGAGCTATCCTCAAAGATTCCCAAATGAGATCTGACACCATCTGGCTTCTCAGGACAGCAAGGAGATTAGTTACAATGACCAGCTGGTAATAGCCCTTTTCTCAACATCACTCCTCAGTGCTGCTGCAGAAGGGAAAAACTGCTGTACCTCAGCACAGCTACAAGAATCAGAAGCTCAAATAGGCTCACATGTGGAGAGCTCCAGTAGGTGGAAAAGCAAAGAATCATGGCACCTCCATAGCTATAGAAAAACAGGAGATTTAAATTTTTATTTAAGAACAGAATTTTTAAGAGAATCTGAGGGAGGGTACTCCTGCGGATAACAGGGTATGGTGGAAGAGAATGCGGATTAACAGAATGACCAGGGATCTCAGAATTCCCAAAACACCTGCTTCACTCATTTACCTTTCCCTCAATAAAGATGAATTATAAATTAATGTATGAAAACTTTTAAAGATCTCCAGGAAGCGAGAGGGAGAGAAACTTAAAACAAACTAAATAATAGTGTAACTTGGTAGCCTAGTGAGTACCATGGGTGCTGTTTCTACTCAGCTTCTCTGCTTTGTCATCCATCCAGTCAAGTCACTCATTGACTTACAGCAAGCTATTTCCTCCTTCCCTTTCCCTCGTCCCACCCTCTGTTCTAAAATCTGATGTGTTAGTTTATAATGTGTTCACTTTCTTCATTGTATTCCTTTGTTATATATGGTCATGCCAGTTCTTTCAGAATATGATCTGAAGTGGGTCTGGCCCACAAAAGCTCATCACTTAATAAATTATCGTGTTAGTCTTTAAAGTGCTACATATTTTTTCCTTTTGTTTTACCAAGATCAGACTAACACAGCTATCTCCCTATTACTTGTCATCCATGCGCTCCTTCCAAGATCACACTATCGCACAAAGGAGGATCTCAGATGATATCTATCACATTTGTCATGAAGGCATAACATGTGCAAACTAAACAAGTTTGTACTCTTGAGAGGTGACATTGTGAAGTATAGCAGCATTGAGATAGCAGCCAGGAACAATTGGTGCCAAGTATAATCCTTTACTGAATTTTCTTGCACAAAGGAATTCATAAATAACCCAAAATGTTAAGTTTTATGCAAATCTTCTATAATTGCATCTAGATAATGATTATGGATCATACCATAAAGCCATTAGCCCTTGGCTTTAGGAAAAAGTAGGAAGTGGACCTTTTAAAAACAAAAACCATTATACAAGACAAGTTATTTGAAAAATAAACAACAAAATGTATTTTCATCAATACATACAGTTGGAAGGACTGCAATCAATTCACAGGATTTAAGCATTGCAGCCCAATCTCCTGTGGGGAGACCTCATCCAGCCCCACTATAAGCCACTACAAATACGAACAACTGAAAGGAAAGAAGTCCTACCAAGGTGCTCTGTTACACAGAAATGCTAGTGCTTGTGTTCAGTAATAACATTTCTGTTTGCAGTGAAGAGACACACCTGCTCTCCAAGGTTTCATTCAACCAACAGGCTAGCACTGGTGCTTAATTCTCTGTTCAAATTGATCTTGATGCCACTGAGGGAAAAAATTACTTTCAGCCATCTGACCACCCTCATCCTCCTCCAGTTCTCTCTTCCTAGATTGTCCCATTAAAACACCTTTCAATGATTAATGACAAACTCCCTTTAGCAGATTATGATCCACTGTTTTAACTGTGGCTGCCATGAAGGTCTGTTCCATGACAATTTTTTTGTCTCACACACACACCCGAGAAAGAGGTCTTGAACTTTTGTAGGAAAGACACTAAAATATAACGCTTGCCTAAAAGAGTTACTGTGATGTCATAGTTTAGTGCTAGCATAGACAGGAGCGAATTTAAATAGCAGTATAGCATTCAGAGTAATTCGCTGTGAAATTAATTGAACAGAACTATAACTATAACAGAGTGAGGTTTTTGGTATTAGGGTTGGGGTTTATCCAGGGGTCATCAGGAGATAAAAGTGTTTTGCTTTTGTTATACACATTAGAGGTGCCTTGTGAATAGAGGACAGTCATCTCTATGGCTGCCAATCCCTTACCTTGTAACATGAGAAATACTTAAACTTGACTGGATTATGCGTGCTTTTAGAATTAATTATAAATAACTCTGCATTATAACGTAGGCAGTTGCTGACAGACTGATTTAATGGCTAATCTTTTATGATCCACTAACATTATTCTATAAACCTATATAATATGGTAATTTGTGTGCTGTTAAAACTTATACACAGCTCTACATTTTTTAAGTACTTGAAACATTTCTTTGCTTTTCACCACTCTTCTGTTGCTCTTTATGCTGGTATTAAAGCCCAGAAGCTTGTGCAGTCACTTAAACAGACCATAGCTTAAGGATATACAAATAAAGGCAGTTCTTACCTGTTGAGACTGACTGGCCAGTACCATCAAATAGATCAAACAGATCACTAGAAGACTTGCTGCCAGGTGGGATTGAAGCCTAAAGAATAAAACAATTCATCAGCATTAAAAACACGACTGAAACACTGTTTACAGTTCAACTGCAAGTCTAGCTCTGCCCAACCCCAACTTCACACGTGAATTGAGAATCGCTGTCCAAATGAAAAGCCCCCAAATGGTTTTCTTCAAAGGTCAGTTTTGACAAATTTTGAAAGTTTTGGAGAGTTTTGAAATTTTCTACACATCTCACTGTGACACTTCCAGAACAAAAATAATTTTGGTTTTTGATTTGAAACCACCACAGATGCTGCTGGATCAAAGCACCCCATGGTTGAGAGAAGGGGCCAGCAGCAATCTAGCAGCAGAAGGGCCAGTGGGAAGGAGCCCAGCAAGCGCTGGGAGTATAGCGGGGCCAGCAGTAGAGGGGGCTGGCGGCTAGGAGTCCTGTTGGTGCTGAAAGCACAGCTGGAAGCTGGGCCAGGAGCTGGGAGCCCACAGGAGCCAGGCTGGGGCCAGGAAAGAAGCTCAGTGGCAGAAGGGCTGGCAGCCAGAAGGGGAGCCAAGGAGTGGGGACCAGCAGAGCACTGACCTCCTCTGCTCTGGTAAATGCCCTCCTTCATGACCACTCAGGTCTTGGTGGTGCCAGACCAGGGAGGTCCAACCTGTATTGGTTTGTGAAAGTTTTTGCAATTTCAAATACTTGCCCAATACAGGATGGGATTTTAAAAAATCCTTTTATAAGATGAGAAAACTGCTTGCCATCCAGCTCTAAAGGGAAGAGATCCCCATCAGTCTGGTTACTCTGTCATACCCTGAATCCTATCAGGAAACATCACAAAGAATGCACACATGTAGCCAACATTCCTACGCCGGGAGGACACCGGCATTCTGTGTGTTCCCTGAACCTTGGCACTGGGGTCAAGTGCCTCTGTGGCAGAGCAAGTGCCTGCTGAAAAGTCTGTTAGTATAGCTTTACTAACAGTCTGCCTGGCTGTTTGTGAGAGAAGGAAAATGTCTTCCTCGAATCACACTAGCATAGAGTTTGTGGATTCTCTTACTTTAGATGGAAGTGGGAGGCAGCCCAGAATAATCAGTCATGGTCAATGAGAAAAAGGGGGAAGGTCTGCTGACCCTCCAGGACTCTCCAGGCAGGCTACTACATTGTAAGATGGCATCTACATGTGAATGGTTAACGGTTAAGGCTTACTCATTACGGTAACCAGCTCCCCTACTTAACTGGTTAAAACAACGTTTAATCAGTTAATTAAACAGGATTTTACATCCCTAGTCTCTACTTACAATCATGGAATCAGACAGTAGTGACATTGGAGGAATAAAGCTAGTGAGCATTTTGGATACCTCACATAAGAATGACCACACTGGCTCAGACCAAAGGTCCATCTAGCCCAGTATCCTGTCCTCAGACAGTGGTCAATGACAGGTTCCCAAGAGGTAATGAACAGAACAGGAATTCATCAAGTGATCCCTCCCCTGTAGCCCATTCCTAGCCTCTGACAAACGGGCTAGGGACACCATTTCTACCCATCCTGGCTACTAGCCATTAAGGGACCTGTCCTCCATGAATTTACCTAGTTCTTTTTTTGAACCCTGTTAAAAGTCCTGGTCTTCACAAAATCCTCTGGCAAAGAGTTCCACAGGTTGACTCCGCATTGCGGGAAGTAGTAGTACTTTGTTTTAAACCTGCTACCTATTAATTTCATTTGATGACCCCTAGCTCATGTGTGATCCTTCTAACATACTCATTAAATTAGTACTTGTGGGATATGACTAAATAAGAACCTGAAACACACAAGGAAAAGAAAACATAAGCGTTTGATCTTCTGGAGGAGGGGGAAAGCCTTACAATCCCACTCTCAAAAGAATTTTAAAAATAAAGAACTGTTTCAGAACCCCCTTTCCACAGGCAGCACTAAGGCCATAGTCCAGTTTGTAGACCCTGGTGAAGATATGCTCAGAGTTGACTGGTCATTGATTCATCTTTTCAGGCAAGGGCCTTAGCCCATAGAGAGCTTTGCCACTGTAGACTCTGGGGATTTAGTCTGCCAATTTTGGGGTAGACTTCTCTAATATCATATCTTAGACATTTGGAAATAGTTATTTTGAAGGCTTATTTGGAGCTCTGCAGATTTATAGATCTTGTTCGAGCTGATTTCTCATCTGAGATTCCGTTTGTGCCTCAATTCCTCTGTATGCTTCAGATTTAGGTAGAAGGCAAGAGGACTCTCTTAACATCACAGAGAATTCACAACATCAGTTATTGAAAGCAAAGTTGAAAGCAAAGTTGACATGATCACCTTGTCCTTGTCAAGTAGTCATGGAAATCAAGAATGGAGCTTTAACAGACCAAAGTATATGGATACAATAACAAAGTTTGAGAGTTTAGACCCAGAACAAATTCCAAATAGACCAATGTTGGCGCAAGGTGGTTTCACGTTGATTCTGATGATCTGTGCTATGTGAGAAAGACAGTGGAATCTTGCTGCCTGCTCATGTTAAGAGTGGGAGTGGTGGCTTGTCAGTGGGCCGCAGACAAGTTATTAAGAACGAAGGAATGTCTTTAGTTCTTCTTGGCTGTCACCACACAGTCCATTAGCTCCAACTGTTGAGTCTGAGGCAGAAATAAGCAGAGGCTTCCGAGACTCTGTTCTTTTTGAGATGATGGTATGACATGAATTAGCTAAAAACTCTTGTAATGCTGCATTCAACAGTCATATTTCAAAATTCAAATAGGAAAGCAGATCCCGAGTGGAAGCTCTGGATAACCAACAGATGAAAAGTGCTCATGGTTGCGGTCTCCATGTGTGAAGTACCAGGGCCTCATTAATCAACTGATTACGAGCAGGATGACAAGTAATTGTTCTCTTTTGACACTGTTCTGCTCAGTAAAAACATGGGGAGAACAGACAATGTGGAAGAGAACTTCCATACCAAGAACTAGAGTGCATTAAGACATTTGTTTTGTTTGTGATTTGGCTGTGAAGCGAAGAGGAACTCTTCTGGCTGGCTGAGCCTCAGATATATGGAGTAACTCCATTCTGATGGCGCGGCAACTTGACAATTCAGCCATGCTGGGTTTTCAGGTATCTAGGGCTAAATGAAGGCTAAGTCTCTCTTCCCATTCCATAGCTGAACTGTCTCAGTAATCAAGAGCTTCTGATCCCTCTTTGCCTGCTAATGCAGAAAAGGTGGTTAAGTATCACCTTAAAGCAGACTGACCCTTTGGGAGGTCTGGGAAGCTAGGACTGAATTTCACTGATCTCAGCTTGAACAGATTTTTTTCTCCAGAGCCTTTTCCACACACCAAATTCCCCCAGGATTGTGTGGGAGCCCAAAGTGAACCCATACACTTGAGAAACAAGTACCAATTCATTTTCTGACTTCTTGCAGATAGGAGCAGTATAGTGCCTGTCAGGGAGAACTTGATGAAAGACTAGCACAGGGGAAATTTAGAAGTCCTATGGGAAACATGGTCTTACTTTTTGTGGGTGAGCGGCCTCAGCTTTGCAGCAGAAATCTCTGCAACAACCTCTTGTGGAGCCTAACCAAAGACGACACATCTATGCTGAGAGCATTGTGTCTAACAGCCTGAGGCAGTCTCAGTGACACTAATTATTTTTATAACAAGAAAGTTTAATTTTAGAGGATTACAATTTCAAATAAGGAACAAAGAGCAGGCTAGATGAGAGGAATTAACAGCCACTTTGCAAGTCAGTGTCAGAACAAAAATAGACAATATAAAGATACACAGGTAGATAAGATGCTCTTCTAAAAGTTTTTGCCACTTTCCAAAAGATGTCAACAGACCATTTTCCCAATATTTTCCAATGCATGTAAGCAAACCTTACAAAGATTCAAAGACTGTGGACTGACAAATAATTGTTTGACTAACTCTGGCATGCCCACAATTACAAGCAGCTAAAAAGCAGGAAGAAAACAGATGGGGGTCGGTAAGGAAATTACGTTTGAGGAAAAATCCAAGGGGGGAACGGGACTAGGAAATCTTGAGGCTTCACTTTACTAGCAAGTCAGTATGTATAAACATTGTAAAATATGCTTTCAACCCGACCATGTTATTAAAGGCTCTCCCCCCTTTGCCTATGTATACAGCAAAAAGCGAGCTATGGTTGGGTCACAAACTTGTTCCGAAAATTATTTCTGTAATTCAAACATCGTCTCTAGACTTTTTCTAATTCTTAACAGAGACTGATGAACTTGACAATAGTAACATATAATATGGCTACCGAGGCAGGGGCAAGTAAAAAAAAAAAAAAATCTTGTCACAAACACTTTTTCTCCTTAGAGATGTCCAAACAATTTAGGAGCTAATTCAGGCTGGTAATAAATACAAATTATGTATTTTGAGAGCTTTGATAGCTATATATGGCTTACTGTAGTGTTTTTAAACCAGAACAGCTAAAAAAAAAAAAATCAAAAGTATTGTATATAATGCTAATGTTTGAAATACCAGACATTTGGAAATTAAAAAAAAAAAAACACCTTAAATTCTCCCCTTCAGCTATTTTGCAATACATATAAAGAGAAATGACAGCTACTCTGCTCAAAATCCCTACATCTACCTACCGGAGACTGTCCATTCTAAATGTGTGTAGAGCTGGCACTATAAAGGGATATTTATTTTAGGTCCAATTTTAGGGTCTGAAGACATTGAAAATTCAACCCTTGTAATTTCCAGGAAAAGAGTTACTTTTGAGGCTGATTTATAATTTACGTAATTCAGAGTTCTCTTGTCCTTAAAAGAAAAAAAGATGTTTTCAGAGTTGGAAGAATGGAAGTTACATCTGACCTTTACAGTAGATTGTGGGGTATGAGCTGCAGCATTCTGATCTGGACTTGCTTTGTCGCCCGTGTAATGTGCTGCGGCTCCCAGATCGATGGTTTTGGAAGGATTTGCTGTGCGTTTGTGTCTAGTGGTGGTGGTCTCTGTTGCCTGTGTTATATGAATATGTTTGGTCGTCACGGTCTCCTCTTCATCTTTGAATTCACCTTTGGGGGATTTACCTCTTCTTGCTTTCTTTTCTTCATCACTGTCACTGGAACGAAATATAAATGACAATCAGTACAAATTTGGTGAGGAAGAATTGAATCAAGATCCAAAGCTCACGGAAATCAATGGAGTCTTTTCATCTACTTCAATGGACACTGGATTCAGGCCTTAAGAATTTTGATTCTCAGCCTTTTCACAGTTTGATTTGTATTCACACTGTACAGCCTGCGACTTAGGAAAAGTCACACAACTTTTAATATTTGAGAAAATAATACTTGACACGTATGTTGCACTTTATGAAAGTCAGTGTAGTATTGTTCCCATTTTTCAGAGACTTTTTTGTGCATGTTTGGGGGATGAAGATACTGGTTTGATACAGCAGTCTAGGCAGTTAAGGAGATTTGGAAAGAGGCTCCACAGGTCATTCACTGGTCCAGATGAAACGGTGCACCAAGGAAAGGTGCTGTCTGTAAGATATCAAGCATGCCAAACTCACTTCCAGCCTATTTCCCATTTGAGATATTTGGGAGTTTATTTTCTTTAAAGTATGTGAAAATTGTTACCTAGTTTAATAAGATTGTTTCACAGTATTGCACAACCCTGTATCCAAAATTTTCCATCTCAGAAAACACCTTTTTGTTGTGCCTCAAAATATGTGTTTTAGTTGAAATGTGTGTGTACCACAGCGTAATGCATGTTTCATCTGATTTATTATATTCTCCACTCTTACTTTGCTTGTGACCAAACAAAAAAAAACCCCACACTTAAAATATCATTCACTTTTGCAACAGAATGGTACATAATGAAAAATGCTACAGAGAAAGCTTAAATATATTGAAAACTAATTTGAAATAGCAATTCCCTTCTGGGTACACAGTTAAAAATGGAAGGATTTTATAGTTTAATAATGCAGAAAAGTTCTAACAGATCTAACTGAACAAGCACTGTCCTTTTGTCAGTAGGGACAGGACAATAACCACAATTTGCTATAGAGGATAGCCTTTGCTCTCTACCGATGGCAGGAACTTTGGCCTACTTTCTATACATAGAGGAAATGGGAAACATTCTGTCTAGTTGCCACTGGAAGTGGTTCAATTCATGATCATTCAAAATAAATGCTCAACCTTCCATTTCATATTCCAATGACTAACAGCATTAGCTATAGCCAGATGTACAGGCAAGTGTGGTACAAGACTGTCACACAGCTCTGCCAGTGCACCTAACTCTCATCTTGTAGCCACTCTCACCTGTGCCAGCTCTCAGCACTAGGGTTGCCAGATGATTGAAATAAAAATACGGACCCCCCTCCCCCAAAAAAAACTGGGAAAAAATTCTGTTGAAGGGAGGAAAAAAAGGGGGGTTGGGGAGGAGACCAAAGTTGAGCCAAAAAAAATTTAAAGTAAAACAGCATTAAAACAGCATGTCCCCTTTAAGAGTGAGTGCAGGGATTGGAACGGGACAGGTTGAGCACTAAGACCCAGGGGAAGCATTGCTATTTTGTGCCAGCAGCCTTGGGGAACCAGGTAAGCATGGGGTTGGGGAGCTGGGAGTGTCGGGGGGGGGGGGGGGGGGGGGGGCGGTGCCTGGCATTTTTGCCTCCTGGCCGGGGAAAAATTCAGAAAATACCAGACATCTCAGGTGTCCGGTATTCTCTGAATTTTTTTTTTTTAACTGGACAGGAGGCTAAAATACCAGACACCTGGCAATCCTACTCAGCCCTCTGAGCCTAGAGTACTATGAGCACTATGCACAAATGAGACCAGACCAGACCACTACTTTCATTTCCAGGTGTGAGGTCAAGATTTTAATCCAAGTGAGATGACTGGCAAGCTCACTAATGTAATAAGCATTTAGTCACCCTAACTGTAAGCTCCTTTGGGGCAGGGCCTTACATGGCATGTTCATGCAGTGCTTAGCACAAGTCTCCAACCCTCATTGGGCCCTTTAGGTAATACTGGATGGCTGGGTCATTATCAACCTACCAAACAATGAAGGTGACAATGGTTGTTTGTCTATGTAGAATCTCATGGTACCATCTACATGTTCTGTTAGTCTTTAAGTGCTACCTGACCATTCGTTTAAAAAACAACAAATGGTCTGGTAGCACTTTAACAAAACATGTAGATGGTATCATGAGCTTTCGTGGAAGGCTGTGCCCATAAAAGCTCATGATACCATCTACATGTTTTGTTAGTCTTTAAAGTGCTATCAGACCATTAGTTGTTTTTTAAGTTTATCATGTACAGACTAACTCGGTTACCCCCTGCAGCTTACAATTACTATTGTTAACCACCTCAGGGCAGTCTCTAGTACCCAACGTGTGCATGTGTTGTGGGGAAACTGAGAAGGAGATTAATAAGTGTCAGGTTCGGTCACATATCCTAACAAAATGTGCACTTCCAATGAATGTCCGTGTTATAGTGTAACATGAGCTTCAGAGGAATGTAATAAGGATAATCTTACTTGCTCAAGAGTAAGACATAGATGACCTTTTAATGATCTACACCATCTTACCTGCTGCACAACCAGAAATTCTGACTTTAAAAATAAAAAGGGTTTGAGTGGTGAACTGATCTCCAAAATCCACAGCATTAGAGAAACAACCTTTAGGTGGCTGCATTTATTATATTTGAAAGCTTTCCAGAGGTTAAATATATACAATGAAATGTAGGACATCAAATATTACAGTGCCCAATTTTCTATAATAAACTGCACTGCTTCCCACTGAATGTCTCAGGAGATTCATTTTGATTTTTCTTTGATGGTCGCATTAACAGCAATGAAACATTATAGATTAATGTTCCTTTTAAGTGTGTTTACTATGTACAGAATAAATCCCTATAAAATGGCACTGCTTCATGTGAGAACTGCATTGTGAATGTTAAGAGTTTCATCTAGTATTGTACTGAATCATTAAAAATACGGTCCCCATGAGCAATGCATGTTCATATAACAGCCAGGAGCTGAATTCTAGTCTGTAGTCTATTCCTTTGCTTTACTGAAGGAGTGAAAATGTTTCCCTGTCCTTTAGGTTTAGGCAAACTACCTCAAACTGCCTTCCCCAGAATCTAGTTAGTCCGCAAAGAAGGATTACCACTTTTTGAACCAAGGTCACCTTTAGCAAAGAGTACCACTTATGGTTTTATAGAAGACCAATACAGTTTTGTTTCCCTTTGCCATCTGCTGCCTACACTAGCTTTTTAGAATATTGGAGAGGAATAGAATTGGACTGAGTTCAAGAATTCCTGTTTGATATTAAATTGTTTTACAGAAATATGAAAGTACCTGCAGATAAATTTGGAAAATACTGCTTCTTTGCAAAAGGATGGGATCACCATTAATGGAGTGCAAAGAAATGAGGAGACAGGAATTAAGCTTGAATCATTAGTGTAAGATTCGGGGGAATACTAACGAACAGGAAAACCAGTGGCTTTTTTTAGCGACTGCTTTCTGAATTCCCTGCTCTTCTACCATTTCAATGTAGCCATGCAGTACTGATAACTTGGGAAAGAAACACAATTTGGTGAGACGGGAATGTTTTCCTTCTATGGTTCACCTTTTAAACCGTAGGCTCAGTTTCTCCACAAACAGCTGTCCATACCTTAAGTGTAGTTCTGCTCTGAAAAAAGTCATGCTGGGGTTACATATTTATCTCAATACTTAGATCAAGTGTGTTCAGCATAAGTAAAGAATCCAGATTCCAGGTCTAGTTAGAAAAAGGAAGTCAAGTTGGGATCTGCTAGTTCATGCATCAAAAAAATATAAAGATAGTGATTGAATTCTGGGAAGCATCCTAATGACAAGATGCTAGCTAGATGGAGAGTGTGTTTTCATCCTTCCAGAGCAGTATTCACTTTGCAGTGGTAACAGGTGTAAAAAAAAACCAAAAAAAAACAACCTAGGCTTTAATCACCAAAGTCAACAGTTAAGACTGAACACAGAGAAAAATCTATGGACTGAAGCAGTACCTCTTACGTAGTCACTTTTCAGAGCAAAAATAGTATATTAATTCTACATTACTGCACCCTGAATAAACAGTGGAGAACATAGGTTTATAAGTGAATTTGTTTAGGTGATAGTATTACTGAAGAGGAACTGGGGGATACAATAGCTCACAAATTGAATGAACAAACAACATGATGCAGCTGCAACAAAAGGTGATATTCTGGGATGCATTAATCGGATTGTATGTCAGACATGGGAGAGCCCTGTTCTGGCTCCACTTAGTCAACAATGCCTCAATTGGAGTAAAAGCGACGAGGAGTCCTGTGGCACCTTATAGACTAACTGAAGTTTAGTACTCAATTGGAGTACTGCATCCAGTTCCGGGCAACACGTTTTGGAAAGAGACAGACAAATTGGAGAGAGAATACAGAGGACAGCAACATAAAAGGGTTAGAAAACCTGATCTATAAGGAAAGGTTAGAAACGGGCATGTTTAGTTTTGAGAGAAGATGGGGGGGGGGAGCCGGGCTTCTGCCGATCCGGATCAATGCTCCGATGGTGACAAGACGAAACCCGGGGCCCTCTGCAAGACACCTCACTTTTATAGCATACATGCCGGGCTGTTATAAAGAGGATAATGATCAAATGTTTTCCATGTCCACTGAAGGCAGGACCCCAAATAAAGGGTTTCATCTGCTGCAAAAGAGATATAACTATTACAAGAACCTGAATTATAAGGGTAGCTAAGATCTGGAATACGCTTCCATAGGAGATTGCGGAATCCCCAAGTCAGAGATTTTAAATAATAGGTTAGACTGTACAGTTTATTTGACCCTGCCACAGTGCAGGACACTGGACTGAACAACTTCAAGGTCCCGTCTAGCCTTCCACTTCTATGATTGGAAAGGCTGAGACCCACTGTCCTAAGATTACTGAACCCTGCTCAGGAGCCCGACTGGTCTTGCCTATACTTCAGTTTCACTTCACTTAAAAAGTGCTTGATTGTAAGATCAGACATAAAACTACAAAAAGGTGGCACAGCACACTTCTACTGAAATGCTTTTTTGTTTTTACCAGGTAATTAGAAATACATCAATGCTGTACTTGCATATCAGTGCCTAGTTCTGTACATAGAGCAGTATAAACAAATCATTGTTTATATGAAATTTTAGTTGGTACAGGATGAACCTCTCTGGTCCACCAACATCTGTGATATGGCAGAACCACAGATGTTGCTGGACAAGAGAGACTTTGGATCAGAGAGCCCTGGCAGCTGGGTAGCCGGTGGTTTGGGGGCGAGGGGAGACGGCAGGGGTGCCTGGCACCTGGCTAGTGGCTAGGAAGAGATCTGGACTGGTGGCTGAGGCTGGCAGCAGACCTGGACCAGGGGCCCAGAGGGGAGCCCAGTTGGATTTGCTGACAGTCCCCAGAAAGCCTGGAGTCCATCAGCAGAGGCGCCAGAATTAACTTCCTCCTGGTCCAGCAAACTCCCTCATTCAGGACCAGTCAGGTCCTGAGGGTGCCAGACCACAGAGATCCAACCTGTTTTGGCTTTGCTAGTGCTTTTTATGCAGCCTGTTGTAAAAGTAGGCAAAAATGTAGATGAGTTTTAAACAAGGGGTAATAATGGGAAGATCTCTGCATACCCCCAGAATTATGTGGACCCCGATTGAAAAAACACTGATTTAGGTTATTTCCAAGAACTCAGGAGGGTAAAAAGGGTACCAATATGGTATCTATTGCATACATTGTTCAAAATATCTTTCTGGGCAATGTGGGATTTGTTTTTATTTAAGTCATGCATTATTACTAAATCCAGTCACCAGTGCTTAGATATTAAATATTTATGTAGAACCTGCACCTGAAGTATTCAATTAGAGGGTTACAAAAGGATAAAAATTGGTGCCACTATTCTAGGAGTATAGCTATCAATATGATTTATTGGGTTTGTATTACACATTACCATCATGAGATTCCTGTGAGAATATGGACCCGCCCTGAGGACTTTGCTTCTCCTGCAGACAAAACTTCCATTTGTTTCAACTCCCACTGCCCAAGTAACATCTTTCAAACTAGGCTCCACTGCGTGTTGAGGCGAGGATACTTTTGGATGGCTTGCTGTGCAGTTCTAGAGCCATGGCGGACTGGCAGAAGTCGGAATTCTTATGCAGTGTGGGACTTAGATGGCACCACCTCACCTTGCCTACTATTTGGAAGTGTATGTGTGTATGTAGCACAATTTCCAATTTTTACCCCTTGTTTAAAACTGATCTTAGTACTTAATAATGCCACACTTTTATGGCAAATCAAAAACATTGTCCCTAAGTTAAGCAATGAGAACAAATAAAGATGCAAGATGTAATAACTATGAGGTATGAAAGAGCAGACCATTAAATTAGAGAATTGGTTAGTGCAGAAAATTAAAAAACAGTGGGTACAGCAGGAAATCAACAGTAAGCAAGAAAGACAGAGGAAAGGAAAGGTTTTGTTGGGAAGGAGAGGAGGGACCGAAAGGTGGGGGGAGAGATAGAGACTTGCTTGGGACAGGAGGAACTGAAGTTCCATCCAGGGATAAGCAGTAGTGCAAGGAAGAACCATAAAAGCACAATGCAACACGAGGGAAATATCCAGGTAAATACTTATCCATTGTTAATTTTCTATTTGAAATATGGCTAAGGAGCTTTATGGATGTTCTCACGTGAAAACTTGCTTTTGAAGGAAAGGGACAAAAAGCTTAAATCAGTGTACCATTATTGTTCAATCTGAAGTTTGTTTGTGTTTCTTCTGATCCTTTTCTCTTTGCAGTCTATTGATAATAAGTTCTAAGAGGAACCCTGATGTGTGCACAGAGTACCAGTTTTATGATTTATTAATGTCCTAGTGGGAAGGCCATATTGCCCTGTTTTGAAAAGTGTCACCATTAGTATTTCATTTCCCTACTGCATTATTTGGTATTCAAATATTTATACATAGTATTGTGAAAAAACACTAACATGTAAATGCAAAATGCATTACAATTCTTACAGTTTTAGGATGTGTATTTCAATGAGCATTTTCTTTATAGCAATTTAAGATCATTTAGAACAGGTTTGATCTCCCAATAATAAAATTTAATACACCTGTTGAAGCATGCATTTAGAGTTCATGCTTCAGCCACAAACTCCTCAGTTTTATCATCTTACTGCAGAGGATAGCTAAGACTTATCAGAGCTCAGTGTACTTTGGCCAGACACCCTCATTTTCCAGAGCGCCCCTCTCCCCCCCCCCAAGGAAGTAGGTGCAGGGCCAGGACTTTTATGTTGCTCTACACTGCCCAAAGAACTTCCTTATTTCTGGGGGTTGCAGATACCAGTTACATGGCCCTCCAGGACCAACAGAGCAGGATAATGGGGGTCACAGTTGACAGGCCCAAAAATGTATTTCCAGTCAGAGGTGAAAACGTAGCAAAACACTACAGACACCTCATAAGCCTTACAATAACAGCGACTAGTCAAAAGAGATGCAGCTATTTTAACATAGGAAAAGTACCTGCATCTTTCAGGAGAGTCCTCTCTATCTTTCCTCCGGAACTTGCTAATGGTATCATCAATTGTGCTTCCAATTTTGTCACTCAGTTCACCTAGTTTATCGCTGAATGGAAAAGCACCCTTGTTTTTATCCCATTCTTCATCCCATTTGGACTTGGGCTCAGGATCATATCTTTCACCTATATAATTTGTTAAGACATAAGAAATACTGATAAATGCAAAAAAGCCTCCATCCCCACAAAAAATGTTACCATATGAGTTTTCAAGGCAAACTGAAAGCTCCAACAGTGCTAAATCAACACTATTACAGCAAGGCACAGCA